AAACGGTACACGGTAGAAACGATAGAAATTTAGCCTACGATATAGATTTGTCTTCTACCAGCTAACCGCAGTAATGCTGCGTTTAATTTAAAATCAGAGTTTTCAGTTTAATCGTTACTTTTTTTTAGTTGAAAACTGTGCGGAAGTGGCGTTAAAGTCATTTCTTCGAGAGCCAAGTAGTGAAGCTACAAGCTAACTACAGCCGGCTTGCCGTAGTGTTGCCGTATTCTGACGCATGCGCAAAACGCTGCGTTTCGTCAAAAGGTTTTTTTTTTCGGTCGAAAGTTAAAGTAAGCGTTGGTCATCTTTAGAGAAACCTGCTCTCTGATCTGTGAAAAGAACGCTGTGTTGTGTGATTTTACTGTGAGACCCTCTGGTCAAAGTCACAGTCTCATTTTGTGTCAGCTCTTCATTAAAGCAGAAGGAGTCGCCAACTAGAGGTTTGGAGGGTGAAATGTTTCAGTGTAAAATGCTGTTCTGTTGCTGTTCATTTATTAAGTGAGAAGACTGGAAACTGTTAAGAGTTAATAACTTTTTTTGTTTTGTTTAAAACATATGGTTAAAACTACATTTGATATCTTTTGCACTGTTTTGCACTACAAGAAAGAAGCCTAATACTTGATTTATTATTTAAAAACTCTCTGGACATAGTAGTGGAATTTTTTTTAATTCAAAATATATGATGCAAAAGGACACCCTATGCTTTAAAATCCCTATTAAGTTTTACACCAAAAACATATTGCGATATATATGGTTATAGCCACCCTTGACAATACATATTGTGATATGAATTTTGTCATACGAGACAAACGAGATGTTTTGAAAAGTTTCTGAAAGAACCAGTGACTCCGCCCCCTGACCAATCAGTGACTGACAGTGTTCTGACATCACGATTTGGTGCTGGCTCGGCTCGATTGGTACCCCAGAGGAAAAGGGACTAAAAAAGGGTCCGGTTCTACGAAAAAGTGCTAGTGGAAAAGGACTCAAAATCATATCAAACTGAGTCGAACAAGACTGAAGAGGAGGCGTGGAAAAGGCCCTTTAGTCTTGTGCTGATAGTGACTATCAAAAGAGTTTCTCAAACCCAACAGAACCCTCAGACAGACGCTGGTTCATCCTGAGTGATGTGGTGTCTGCAGGAATGTTCAGACCTCTTTACTGGAGAAACTAAAGCAGCTCTCAACAGACATATGGCTCAACACTGGAGAGCAGCTCTTCAGGACCAGACTCGCGGTCCACCTACATCTCAAGAATAAGGGACACTCTGCTGAGCACCAATGAGTTCATAATTTAAGGTTTGAGTGGGGGTGAAGGAAGACATTTATTTCAAATTAGAAGAAACAACTTTAAATAGAATATGGCTAAATGTTTTAAATTAAAAATATATATATATATTTTAATATTTTGACTGTTTGGAGCAGAAATGATATCTGGAACTATAAATGTGTTTAATTGCACAGCCCATATAACAACTGGATCAGACTAACTCCTGAAACAGACCAGCAGCAGCTGAACCTCAGAAACACCATGAAGGGCTCACCTTTCAAATGCACGTTTTCCCAGAAGACCCAGAGCTTTGGCAGAGTTCTTCACTTCTGTTTTTGGTTGTGGGGCAGTCACAGGTGTGGGGGCAGGGGCAGCGGGCGGAGCTGGGAACAAAACGTTGGTGACTGTAGTTGCTTCAGATTCTTTTTTAGGCTCAGCAGAAGAGACGTCAGAAGGCGGTGCAGAAATCAGAGCTTTGATCTGATGACGAGGAAAACAAAATGAATGAGGAGCTTCTGAGGAACCAACAAGAAATCTTCCCAGATCAGGCTGGTACTGACCCATTCAGGCTGATCCGGAGGGGGGTTTGGCATCGGTTCCTCCACAATGGGCTGAAAACAAACAGAAACTGAGTCCAGCAGTCAGGACTTCACGACCAGGTTCAACATGTCAGGTTACATTTACATTTAACTAAAACATTATTTTGAGAGGGGTGGGGGGTTGTCAGTAAATGGGAAGCTTTTTTTAAGAGTAATTTTTTGTGGGGGTTCTTAATATCCAGTGAAATGTACTGTTGTAAACTAAAATGAAAAAAAAACAAAAAAAACATTCATTACAGATCTAACAAGGTTGAGTCAGGTCTTCTGGATGGGTTCCTCAGCGTGAAGTCTTTTGGAAAAAAAAAAACGTCTCAATAAAGAAGAACCCGTCCAGTGGACCTGACTCAACCTGGTTAGATTTATCTATCTGCATTACTGAGCAGCATCAGGTCATTCGTTAGAGTCCTCCAGGCAGACAAGCTGCAGATATTAAACTAACGGGAGTAGGGCTGTATACCGAACCAAGGTTCTTTTATGGCACTGACCGAAGCAGTTTGGTCGGTGTATGGATTGAAACATGCCTTTTCTTTCTGTGTCAAGTTTCAGTGATTGACTGTAACATGATGCGTGGTTTCAGCACACCAGCAGATAAAACACAGACATATAGCAAACAGACTAAGTGTTTACACCCAGAGCTGTACAGAGCTGCTGTACAGTTGTATGTCTATGGCGCCAGTTACGCCCACAAACGGGGTTCACGTGTGCAGCGCGTGTCATCGAACGGCTTCAATTTAAGAGCGGAAAGTTGCTCTGTGTTTGCCTGCAAGGAGAGAGGAGGACCGCAGCCTCCCCTCCTCCTCTCTCAGCATTAAAGTCAGCCTGTGAGTGTTAGAGGCTGAACGGCCTGATTCATTATCTCCATGACCGGACTATTCTTTGCTCAGAGGATGGAGCTGTGTCTGGGATTTCAGCTGGTAAGTTTACGTTTGTTAACGTTACTGCAGCTTAATACGTGCATCGTGGTAAAAAACTAGAATCCATGTAACACTAACTTTACGATATTAGGGTGTAGCTGTATTTTATGGCTATCTATGCAGTGTTTCCCCTAAATAACTTGCCACGGCGGGGCGCTCATCTCGTCCATGATTTTTGTCCTGGGGGAACGGGACGGACGGAGCGCGCTGTTTAAACCAACTGTTTTTTGTTTTGGGGGGGGGGGGGGGGGGGGGCACACAGAGACAGCCACACGCTGTTTACACTGACAGTTTTACAGTTTTAGAGCAGGGTGTGTGAGAGGAGAGAGACAGACACACATCTCAGCCATGCCCTGTCTGAACTGACAGTTTTGGGCTTTTTGGCGGGGGGGTCGGCGGGGGGAGAGACAGACGCAAATCTGAGCCGTGCACTGTTTGTACTGACAGTTTTCAAGTGGTGGGGGTGCGTTCTGCGTGAGGGTTCAGCATGAAGGAAGAAGCTGCCTTTAACTTTTTAGCTAGTGCACCTGCATTGCGATTCGCTAGTTTAGCGTTACATCAGTGCCGACAGGTGGTTGGGGGTGGGGTTCGGTAGACGGGGCGCTCGGTTCTGTTGATGGGGCGGGGCGCCCTGCTTGTATAATGGTAGGGGATAGACTGCCATGTAGCTAGTTAAAATCAGAAATGAACTAAAGATTGACAGATGTGCTCATCCATCCAGTCAGCTGCTTAAACAGTTAACCTAATGTTCACTGTTTATGTTAATGTTCTTCTCACAGGAGCCTCTGAGCCTGATGTGAGGAGGACAAAAGGGAAAAAAAAGCGACATGAGGGCCACAGGACAGTCACAAACTTTGTTGTTAAAAGTTTGCCGTCTTTTTCTACAGCGGAGGCTGCGTGGTGAAGGTAAGTAAACTGTAAAGGATTTTGTTGACCAGTTAAACCTTTATTTCTCAGCCTAGATAATGTTTTTTGAGCAATAAGAACACAACCATGTTATTGTTGATGTTTTGTTCTCATGTCAGTTAGGGAGATGATCAGAGCCCTAAACCCCAGAGAACCACAGAGAAGATTCAGGCAGAGACACAGAGGTGCAGAAGTCTGTATCAACCCTACCTCAGTGAATCCAGTGACCTGCTGGTGGGATGTGAGGGCCAATATGTCAGTGCTATCAAACTGACAACCAGGTATCTGTGTGTGCAACAAGCATCATCCACACCCTCAGAGTGAACATTTTCTACTGCTGGAGACACCATCAGCCAGGAGTGGGCTTGTTTGGGTCCAGAGAAAACAGACATGTTGATGTTTCTGAAGAAAACCTGTTAAGTGAAAAAGGTCCTCAGTGTGTAGCAGTGAGCATTAGACACTGACGTCACTGGTTTGAAACTGGTCTTTTGAACTGGAAATTATTTGTTTATTTTTAAGAAAACGACTTGGAATGGAAATATACCAAAGTTAAAAAAATTTAACTCACGATATGTACTGTAATGTGTAACGCAATTTTATTCTTGTTAGAATTAATATTAATTGCAAAATTGGTACCGAAAAAAGAACCGTCCAGGAACCGACACTGAAGTGAAGGTACCGACACTGATACTGATTTTTTTAGAAAGGTACCCAGCCCTAAAGAGGAGCCCTGAATCTCTTTCTCCACCAAGCTAATTTTTCATCTCTTCAATGGCTTGAATCACTTCCTGGTCAAGTGGTCATGTGACTAAACAAAAGCGTTTCTTCTTTTTACCAAAAGATAAAACAAGAATATCTGACATGCTTCCATACACAACGATAAAGTCCAAAATTAAAAACTAATCACGAGCACAGACACAACAGGACATAGGAGGTTGCCTGCCATGGAAACATATCAAACTAAACTCGTGGTGGTGAGAAACTGTCAGAGGACTTCACATACAGATGTAGTTTTCCTCATTCATTTTGTCGTCACTGATCTGTAGCAACTTTACAAGATTTAAAGCTCTAAATAAAACGTGTTCACAAACAGAAGACACACGTCCAATAAATAATCCAGTAATTTAAATAAAATATTATTTAGACACTAGGGCTAGACGATATGGCCAAAACTTTTATCATGATATATTTCTTAATTTCGGTCGATAACGATATAATTCGATATCAAGAATATAAAAGCCTCAGAAAAACTGTGCAAACAAATTAATGTTCACCTTTTATTTGTATTTAGCCTTCAAATAAATTTTGAAATCACTGCCAAATAAACATAAAGCTCAACTTTGTCAATATTCATAGTTTTAACTTTAAACAACAACATAACCTAACCCATGCAGCATGCGTTTCTCTTTGGATACAGCTGGGGGTGTTGTTTCAGGGACACTCAAACTTTTATTGTGCTTCATCTTGTGACTCTCAGCATATTTCTATCGAGTGGAAACTCTTCAGATGAAACAAGTTAGATGTTCCCACTGCTAGTTGGAACGACTCTCCGTCACATTTTGCAGCACACTGAAACCTGCAGTTTATCGGATCTTGGATAGCCGAACCACTTCCACACCGCCAAATTAGTCTTTCCTCTCTTATCAATTGTGTCATCTTCTTTCTCTTCACTTGTGAAAGTTTGTTCAGTCACGTTCTGACGGTCATGGGCACTCATTTTGGAGAAAACTTAACGCGCGTTGGAGATTAGCCTAGCCTGCTACCACTAATGCCTGCTGGACTCGAGCTCTGCGTAACATCTACGTCACCACGCACTTACGTAGTTGTGTCGCACCTTTTCCTGTCCGGTTTGAACCTGAAGCGGTCGCTTCAACCCGAACTTAAAAAAGAAATGTGTCAGTGAAACGCTGTAATCATATCGAAATATCGAAATTGTGCTTAAAACTCATATCACCGTTATTGAACAAAAGTATATTGTGACATATTTCTATATCAAATTATTGTCCAGCCCTAGCTGAAGTCTTTGTTTACTTTTGTAGTTATAGATTTTGAATTCTTTGTCTGTGATGGACCTGAGACCTGTCCAGGTGTCCCCCACCTCTCGCACAGTGACTGCTGGATATGGGCACCAGTGACCCTGGTGACTCGAAAAGGAAGAAGTGGGTAAAGATAATGGATGGATGCATTACTTGTTCCTAGATTTTTGTTTATTTTAGAAAAAGCCAGGCAGCTAAGCTAACCTAATACTGGTAATTTCAGTTACAGAATTTTATGCACTCCTATTTTTGTTCCTATTTTTGGTATAAATATAAAATGACGCAAAAAGATTCAATACAGTAAAAAAACTAAAACTATTGTTTTAAATAACTGTTCTATTTGTTTACGTTGTTGTTTAATCTTTTCAATTACATGACTGAAACAAAATTTATGACCATTTCAATAGAAAAATTGATTCTAAATCGAAAATCGATTTAGAATCGAATCGTGACACCAAATATCAGAATTGAATCACCAGACACAGAGATTTCCACTCCTAATGTTAATATATTTTTAGACATTTATTTTGTACAGTTACAGCTGTTTGTCTAGTTTAACTAATCCTGACCAACAATGCCTTCAACATATTAGGGGATGTCTAAATTAACAGGTTTAACAATTGAACATAATTCTGACAGAACCACTCAACAACTCACCTCTCCGGTCCAAACAGGAGGTGGAAAGGGTGGGAACCCAAATGGAGGCACACAGACAGGAGGAGCCACTGGAGGAACGGCTGAGGGATCCGGAGGAGGAAGCCCTACTGGGACAACAGGTGGCAGGACTGGGGGAATCGGTACAGGTGGAGGGACTGGCTCTGGTCCCCATGGCTCTCTGGGACCCATGTTGGGGGGGCCAGGTCTCCAATGGGGTGGGCGTTCCCAGTCTGGAGGAGGCACCCAGTCATTAGGATATGGACCCCAACCAGGCCGTGGAGGACCTCTTGGGTCCCAATCAGGAGGAGGGGGTCCTCTTGGGTCCCACTCTGGAGGAAAGGGCCCTCTTGGGCCCCAGTCCGGAGGAGGGGGTCCTCTTGGGTCCCAATCAGGAGGAGGGGGTCCTCTTGGGTCCCAATCAGGAGGAGGGGGTCCTCTTGGGTCCCAATCAGG